TCCCAAAACTAATGGCTTTACTAGCTTAATTCAACTTTGAATCCATCCAGGAAGGCATATGCATAGAAAAAGACAACTTCATTTTTTTCGTTTTTTCGAGTTTGTTCCCATAATTGGGATGGCTTAATTCTACTTCGAATCTCTCACTAGATCGTTTTAATTCGAAAAAGACAATTTAAATTTCGGATTTTCGAATTTGTTTCCAAAATTAATGGCTTCACTAGCTTAATTCTACTTTCAATCTTCTCACTAGGTCGTTTTAAACCGAAAAAGACAATTTTAAAAAACTTCGTTTTTATTCGAGTTTGTTTACAAATTTAAGGGCTTTACTAGTTTAATTCTTCTTCCAATCTTCCCTCTAGGTCGTATTAATTTGAATAAGACAATTTAATTTTTTTTCTTTTTTTCATTTTTTGAGTTTGTTTCCGAAATTAATTAATTTAAGCTTTACTAGCATAATTCTGCTTCTAATCCACCCAGAAAGGTATGACATTAAAAAAGACAATTTAAAAAAATTTCGTTTATTCGGTTGTTCGAGTTTGTTTCCAAAAGTAATTAATTTAAGCTTTACTGGCTTGACTAGCTTAATTCTACTTTGAATCTTCTCAATAGATAGTTTTAAATCAAAACAGACAATTTTAAAAAACTTTCCAAAATTCAGGGCTTTACTAGTTTAATTCTTCTTCAACTCTTCCACTAGGTCGTTTCAAATCGAAAAAGGGAATTTAAAAAAAATCGTTCTTTTCGGTTTTTCTAGTTTGTTCCCAAAATGAATGGCTTTCTCTAGCTTAATTCGACTTACAATCTTCTCACTAGGTCGTTTCAAATAGAAAAAGACAAATTAAAAAAACCTTCGTTTTTTTTGGTTTTTCAAGTTTGTTCCCAAAATTAATAGCTAATTTAGCTAGCTTACTTCTACTTCGAGATCACCCAGGAAGGCGTACGATATTGAAAAAGACAATTTAAAAAATTTTAGTTTTTCACTTTTTTGAGTTTCTTTCCAAAATTAAGAGTTTTACTAGTTTAATTCTTCTTTTAATCTTCCCACTAGGTCGTTTCAAATCGAAAAAGACAAAAAAATTTGGTTTTTCGATTTTTCGAGTTTGTTTCGAAAACTAACGGCTTTACTAGCTTAATTCTATTTCGAATCCACCCAGGAAAGCGTATGACATTGAAAAAGACAATTTTAAAAAACTTCCTTTTTTGTTTTTCGAGTTTGTTTCCAAAATTAAGGGCTTTACAAGCTTATACTTCGAATCCACCCAGGAGGGCGTACGATATTGAAAAAGACAATTTAAAAATTTAGTTTTTTCGGTTTTTCGAGTTTGTTCGCAAAATGAATGGCTTTCTATAACTTAATTCTACTTTCAATCTTCTCACTAGGTCGTTTCAAATAGAAAAAGACAATTTTTAAAACGCTTTGTTTTTTTCGTTTTTCAAGTTTGTTCCCAAAATTAATAGCTAATTTAGCTAGCTTAATTCCACTTCGAGATCCACCCAGGAAGGCGTACGATATTGAAAAAGACAATTTAAAAAATTTTGGTTTTCGATTTTTGAGTTTGTTTCCAAAATTAAGGGTTTTACTAGTTTAATTTTAATCTTCCCACTAGGTCGTTTCAAATCGAAAAAGACAAAAAAATTTGGTTTTTCGATTTTTCGAGTTTGTTTCCAAAACTAACGGCATTACTAGCTTAATTCTACTTCGAATCCACCCAGGAGGGCGTAGGACAACCAAAAAGACCATTTGTCTTTGAAAGGATATAACTGTCTGAGATTTTACTAAGAGATATTATGAGATATCATATTATGGGCAAAGTAATGGCATTCAGTTGAAAATTTTACAACAGCACCGAAAAGTTATCTTCCCAGCATACATTCTACAAGCTTGCTCGTGAACTTTTACTTGTTTTATATTTCTGTAGTCTCCGGTTCGTCCCAATTTTCTTAAATCAGTGGAGTTTAGATGGAGATGACCAGTGACATCATGAAAATAGATCATGATTGAATAGCATAACACCCACTTTCTTATGGCTATCACTGGATTCCTTAATAATAATATAACTTAATACGGTTGACGTCCATTGCTTATCAAGAGATAAGTTTAAAATCTTTTCATGACCGGATGAATTCGTTTGGATAAAATAATGAAAAATTATGTAATACACTACTATACATAGATTTCCAAAAAACAGGTAATTGAAGAAACAAGCCTGTGATTCGGTGACATTTGGGACTATAGAAGTAAAGTTAATTAAGAATAAAGTCTGACTAAAGTTCGCCGGTCAAAATATTGTGACGAGTTCCGATGATCTGTTACGTCGTCCTGCAAGTTTTGCTTGATCCTGTCTGCAGGACAGGCTGCTTCTTCAGCATCTTGAGGAGTTTCAGCATGCTCTAAGAGTCTTTTATCCTTTTCAGTTCCGATGTTTCCTGAAGATTTTTCTATGATACTAATAATAAAGCCCGCTAAAGCCAATCGTACCTTTTATTTCTAAGGTATACCTGGACTAATCGCTTAATTTATCTCCCTTCTTTTTCATGCCTTCAACGAATTTGTTAGGCACTGAACGATCCTTAAGTACGAGTTCCTTCTGTAATTTTTACGAAGAGCGCTCGTTTCACCGTCTTCGAGCCCAAATATCAAGAGAGTTATCGAAGCTCAGCTTACTCATCCTTGGTTTTTCATCGCATCTTGGAATCTCCACTTAAAATCTGAGGGGAAAAAATCTTTGACACAACTACACTGCACAGGTTTCCATATAACTATGCTAAAACAACCCTCACCAAGACTGGCAAATGACTGCTACAGATAGAGAAGGCTGAACTTAGAGTAGTGGTCACTCTACACTACTTCTAGGTAACTGCCATCCAGTCATCTTCGAATGAAAAGCATATGTCTCAATGGAGGTATAACCTGAGATACAAAGAAAACCCAAAGAATGGAATTGCAGAAACGACAGTAAATGACTTAGTAAGGGGCGTCGGAGGCCGCAACGGTTTAGGCGTTGACACGACCCTCATTACTGTACGGTAAAGGTTCCGGGTTCGAATCCGATGCTTACAAATGTGCTTTTTTTTTCAAATACACCGGCACCCCGATGGTTCAAATAACCTTGTAGTTGAAATACGCACGTGTAATGATTTAGTACTTCTCAGGAAAAGGATTGCATTGAACTGAAGAACTAGGAAAGTACAATAAGCCAGAAGGGAGCAGTGTTTGCGGAACGAAAAAAACCCACTTCCTAGAACCTATCAACCAAACCAATATGAGATTCAATGAGAGACGGAAAAAAGGAATATACACCGAGAAAGGGATAAAGATCAGAGGACATCCATCGTCCATGGTGGGTGATACAAGGAAACTAAAAAATTGTGAGGAGTTGAAGTGTAATAGAGACCTTAGGGATGAAGTCAAACATTTAGTTCCTTGATCGAACTTTCGGCGAACTGCAGTAATACATTGGTCATGTTCGATCTGGTTCTACATGGTTTCATTATAAAATCTCATTGTACTTGAAATCATAATTTAGAAAAAAAAAGTAATATTCTGATAAATAAGGCCTAGTTTCGGGCGAGTACGATCCCATGAGATCTTCTAACATTTCCTCGGCCCGACAGGAAATCTGTGGCCGAGCGACCTCTTTACGGTTAGCCGAATCTGGGTGAATTATCCAGTAGAATCAGAGAACATCGAAAAGGAACTGCTTGGATTTTTATTAAATACCTCTTTCTTGAAGCAACAAGAAACGCTGTTAGACCACGATCCACTAGCATGAAGATTCGCCACTGAATCTAGCTTTCATCACGCGGAGCGACCTTTATGTAAAATCTCATAACAGATTGACATTATTATGGATTTTCACAAATTTCAACTCTCTGATTGCTGAAATCATCTACTGAAAAAATTTGTTCCAGTAATCCAGCATCGAAAAGGAAGAGCTTCCTTTCATTTACACAAACGTACAGATTATTTCTGTTCTGAGGAATTTTTCAAACAGGCATACATCGCCAGATATGTTTTCATCAACTACTCTACTGTCCGTAAACTTTTTTGCCTTGCTTTCTATTTATCTCCTTGTTCAGGGGCTGAATCAGTTAACAAAATTTATAGTCACACTTTCTTTAACACTAGCACACCCCCATCGTGTCGCATGTCTGAACGAAACGTACGTATTCGTACGATTGTCGGTTCCAATGTGAGACTACCCAAGTTGTACAGCTAAGTTGTCCCTAGTCCAATGGTGTGTAGTCACAGCCTAGGTCAAGTAGTACTGCTATAAGTTGTCCTTAGTCCAATGAGGTGTAGTCGGTTCCAATGTGAGAGTAGCCCAAGTAGTACAGCTAAGTTGTACCTAGTCCAGTCGTGTGTAGTCGGTTCCAGTGTGAGTGCAGCCCAAGTAGTACAGCTAAATTGTCCCTAGTCCAGTCGTGTTTAATCGGTTCCAATGTGAGAGTAGCCCAAGTAGTACAGCTAAGTTGTCTCTAGTTTTTCTCTCTAAGATGAATCTCTACAGCTATTTTTGTTTTTTCATTTCAATTCGAGGCCCCGTGACGTTCTGGTCAAAGACCTCTTCAGGTTCAATAGTTTCCCGAGCTATTCCTAATATGCCGTGAGCTAAAGCTTTATTTGAGGCATTCGTTTACAAGAAACATTATTAACAGAGCAATGCATTTGCCTAAATTGTAATAACTGTTCTTTGTTATAAATCCTACTATTTATTTTTATTTCTTTATTTATTAGCACTTCCTATTCGTATTAGAAAACGCAAATATCATAATGTGTCTTTAGGCAAGATTAATTAATGCCGTCGTTAAATTTTATATAAGGGAAAAGTGTTTAAATTTCCTTGAAATGACGGCAATGTTCGTTATGAGTTCAGGATAAACTGTTATAGCAAACAGGTGAGATAATCTACTGGAATAAGGCATTGTTTATAAGGTGGTGCGTGTCGTCGTGGGGTGGGGATCCGGAACAGGAGGGATGGACGGGAGGCGAGGTGGCGAACTGGCTGAAGCTGCTCCTCGTCCCGCTTTAGTTCAGTTGTCATGTTGGCTATGAAAGGGCAGGATTTCCAGGAGCCGCAAATAGCGGGTTGGCCTCGTTTTGCCCCAGGGAGACTCCGCCAGCTCGGCACCGCCCTCCTCGACTCAGTGTCCGGTTGTGTACAGCCCCAGTGTCCGCCCCTGTCTTGCCCCCAGTGCCAGTGGATACCTTTCGTGCCGGTCACTCTGCCCTGCGGACACACGGCATGCAAACCGTGCCTGTCCGCCTCCGACCTCTGCCCCCAGTGCGCCGCCCCCTTGCCCCCCAGACTCGAGACGAACGTCCTCCTCAAAGCCGTGGTCGAGAAGTGGTGGGCGCCGCAGCTGGAGGCGGCACGCATCAAAGTCGAAGCCGATGCCCTCCTCGCCAACAACTTTCTGGACCTAGCCCTGGACAAGTACAACACCGCTTTGCATATGTGTAAGTACACCATCCTCAATTACAAAAACTTTGCACACCTTTTCTATGAACCTCCAAAGAAACAGAAAACTTTCAGTCAAAGTCAATTTGATCGTACATTACATTAATTTCAATTCGTTCCACACTATATCAATTGCATAACAAATTTAAATCTATTTTTTCAACATAAAGTGCAAGATAGTGTTGTCAACAAGCTAAATTGCAAACAAAATTGTCTAAAATAATAATAACAATCGTTCTTGGTTCAAGACAACAGAACAACAACACTCCTTTCCTCTTGGTAATTGGAGATAATCCCCACATTCGCGCTAATAAATTACATTCACACACGAAACGTCGTTCACGCTACCCCAGAATTCTCGATATTCCTCGGGGTAATTGGAGATAAGCCCCACATTCACCCATTTAAATTACACTCACACACGAATTTCGTTCGCACTACCCAAGAGTACTCGGTATTCCTCAGGGTTATTTGGGATAAGCCCCATATTCGCGCTAATAAATTACATTCACACACGAAACGTCTTTCACACTACAAAGAGTACTCGATATTCCTCGGGGTAATTGGAGATAAGCCCCGCATTCGCACTAATAAATTACATTACCCACGAAACGTCGTTCACAGTACCCAAAAGTACTCGAAAGATATTCCTCGGGGTAGTTGGAGACAAGCTCCACATTCGCGCTAATAAATTACATTCACACACGAAAGTCGTTCACACTACCCAAGAGTACTCTATATTCCTCAGGGTTATTTGGGATAAGCCCCACATTCGCGCTAATACATTACATTCACACTAGATGTCGTTCAACTACCCCAGAGTACTCGATATTCTTCGGAGTAATTTGGGATAAGCCCCTCCATCAATATTGTAATGAAATGAGCTTTTATGTTTTTAATATCCAACTTTTAACATAATTTTTGCTTGTTACATTTTGTATGCAGTTGTAAAATAAATAAAAATAATAATATTCTACAGAGCATTCAAATTTTACTAGTTCTCAAGGCCATCAACATCAACAAATATAATTTGTACCATTGATTATAAGAGTACTTAATTTTGGGTCTATGCCTGCGTATGTGTGCGGCGCGCAGAGAAATGTTGATGTCCATTGAAGGATGCAACTCCTTGGCTATATTTAGAGAGCGTGTAGGAATACGACCCGACATAAAAATCGTGCTTGAGCTCGGCAGAAATTATTTGGGCCCTTTATTCTGATTTTTGGTCGAAACAGGCATCTCTAGTATGTTTTGAGAATGAATGTATTTATTAGCGTGAATGTGTAATGTGAAAGGGTTGATGGCAGAATATTGTGTACCCATGACCATCCATTAGATGTGTTATATAATAGGTGTAAAGGGTAATGGAGGAATGTCTGACTGAAAGAATGATACGTAAGAAAGAATATATTTAAGTATGAGCAATATGTGAATGGATTTGGATAAAGGAACTGCAAGCGTTGGTAGCTGAATTGAATTTGACAGCACTGGGAGCGCAATCTCGGTGGCTGGACTTTTGGGCCAAAACCCCTTTATGTCCGGCATTAGGTAAAGATTGCTTGATGTGTTCCACCTAATTGAAGGGTGCAATTCCTTGCTCTATATAGAGAGCGTGTAGGAATGCCAAGCGATATGAGAAAAGGCAATCTGGGTCCACTGTTCCAATTTTTGGGGGAAACTGTTAGTTTTGTGTCCCTAGCGTGGGAATGTATTTATTGAATGTGTATCTGAATATTGATCCGATGACAGCAAAATATTGGGTACCATATCACCCTACAATTTGTTTATTTATGTAATAGATGTAAAGGTTGAAGGAGGATATCGAGAACTCCATGCTAAATGTAAATAAGTAAGAAGAATTTAAGAGCGAGATAGGGTGAATGGGTTTGGTTTTGGAGATTGATTCCATCGGGGGCTGAAATGACCTAGCTGTCGATTGCCTGGAGCCCAACTCCGCAGCTAGACGAATAAAACTGTGGATCTCAGACTGCCAAAACCCGGGATGGGTGATTTCTCTTTCTTCTATGTCAAGTTCCCTTCAAATTTGAAGTGGTGAAATATGAAAATTACAAAGACCCATACCAGAAAGGCGGATACCAGAATATTATCTTAGATATCAGTCCATTAGTTCCCCTAAAAGGATATCTGTCAGAAGATAATTTCATAAAATAAATTGATTTTCCTTAGGTAAATAGTTAATACGATGATTAAGCTTAAGAATATTTTTTTGGCTTATTCAGAAGGTGTACCGAACACTTTCACACGTTTCGTCACTTGTGCCTTTAAACCTGAAAAGTTTTTACAATGCAAATTATTTACACGACACAAAAGGAGTAATAAATAAATAAAAACAGTGATTATGACACAAGCTCTGAAAAGTGGCGAAAGCGATAACCTTGTAAATAAGCTAAAAAATAAGGGGTACCAGGAAGGAAAATTTAAAAACTTAAAAAGATTTCTGCAAAACGATGGATTTATTGCTCATTCTTTCAATTGTAGAAAAAAATTGTGAGTTTCAGGATTCTAATCAGGTTTAAACTGGGTTCAATGGAACCTCGTTCATAATTTGAACCAATTCGTCTAACTGCACCTCGCTTATTGTGCACAATGACCTCGCGATGACGCGACCTAAGTATAAATAAATATTATGCGATAGAAAAAGCATTCAGTTATGTCGTAAATAGAAATTGTCGTACTTTTTGCCGATTAGATAAACAAAAGACTGTTATAACTATGTATAAGACAGAACATTCGATAATTTGCATGCCAAAAGTTGGTCAATATTTATTGAAACGTTGGAACAAAACTGGTTCAAATCGCTTTCAACTTTTATTGATCAAAAGTTCAAACTTCTAAAAGGTTATATTATGAAATGAACTTCGTTCAACTATAACACCGCTCAAATTGAACCAGGTTCATCATTTGAAATCGATTCAAGGTAAAACGGGTATTTTTAAGTTGAACTCGGTTCAGAATAATCGGAGTTTAAACCAAGTCAATGCAATGGGCCATTAGTACGAATTAATTTTTCTTTTACTTTGTTCGTTCAAGCGATGTCACCGTCTTTTCATGTGTAAACGAAATATAGGACGTGGATTTTATGCAATACTGTCAAACCTTGAATTTTTAATCAGGGATGCAGTGATTTCCCCATTTATTTAAGTTTAAACATAATAAAGCAGACTGAAACTGATTATTATTACGACAGGCGAATCGACGCCATTATCAGTCAACACTTGCGGAAAAGCCCGATAATAATTAAATAGCATTTTATTTCATGAAATGTATAAAAAATTTAATTATGCTAGGAACGATTTTTGATACGTTTATCCTGGTGAAAGTACATGGAGGCAACATGACTTCTGCTGTTAACCACGTGATCTATTAACTTTTGTATAACTGGTGAGCAACAGTTTACGACCGTATTTAAAAAAAACAACCAAATGTTCCACCCCGATTACAGATTTATCAAGAACCCGTGTAAGTCCTAGTATAAGGGTGATTAGGGATGGTTAGGAATGAGAAAAACAAATAGTAATTACATTGGGTGTCTTAGTAATACGAAATGTTTCTATTAAATCATCTATTGCGTACAAATGTTTTCTGTTAAGTCAGCAATTTTGTATTGTCCTCAGGAAGGAATGAACGTAATGTCAGAATTGGCGTTATTGACCTCCAGTCCATTTCACAAACTAGGAAAGAAAAATTATCTCCCCCCCCAATCAACGTATATCGCTCCTTCTCACTCACGCATCGATCAATTATTTCTCTATCGTTCTTTCTTTTTCTTCCTTCACCTAACTCAATCAATTTATAATCGATCACTCCGTACTCTCGCTCTGGGGGCTAGGGATACCGTGGTGACTATCTATCTAATGTCTATCTATCCGCCATGCATATANAGAGAGAGAGAGAGAGAGAGAGAGAGAGAGAGAGAGAGAAAGAGAGAGAGAGAGAAAGAAAGAGAGAGATAGAGAAGGAAGAGAGAGAGAAAGAGAGAAAAGGTTATGAGAGTGGTGTGATTAATTAATAAATTATTTTCAGAAAGTGAGTGAGGGAAGGGAAAGAAATTGATTGATTGATTGGTGAAAGAAAATGGGAGAGAGAGAAAAAAGAGAAGTAGTGAAGAGAGGGAAATAGATAGATAGATAGGAGGAAATAGAGAGATAGATAGACAGAGAGAGAGAGAGAGAGAGAGAGAGAGAGAGAGAGAAAAGGTAATGAGAGTGATGTGATTAATTTCTAAATTCATTTTGAGAAAGGGAGTGAAGCAAGGGAAAAAAATTGATTGATTGATTGGTGAGAGAAAATGAGAGAGACAAAAGAGAAGTAATGAAGAGAGGAAAACAGATAGATAGATAGATAGATGGATATATATATATATATATATATATATCACATACACCTTCTCTCTCTCTCTCTCTTTCTCTCTCTCTCTCTCTCTCTCTCTCTCTCTCTCTATCTATCTATCTATCTATCTATCTATCTATCTATCTATCTATCTATCTCTATCTATCTCTATCTATCTATCTCTATCTATCTATCTCTATCTATCTATCTATATATCTATCTATCTACCTATCTATCGATCTCTCTATCTATCTGTCTGTCTACCTATCTCTCTATCTCTATCTCACATACACCTTCTCTCTCTCTCTTACTCTCTCTCTCTCTCTCTCTCTCTCTCTCTCTCTCTCTCTCTCTCTATCTATCTCTATCTCTTCTATCTATCTATCTATCTATCTATATCTCACATACACCTTCACTCGCTCTATCTCTCTCTCCCCCTCTCTCTCTCCCTCCCTCATCAATCATGTGTATCAATTTGCGATAAATGTACATCGCTTCAAGATCCCCGTTATGACTGAATGACCGCTAAATTTGACCCTAAAGAAACTCCTAAAGAAACGCAAAAAGTTTAAAATGCTGAATGTGCCCTCGATCTCCTATGTTTAATATTGAAAATAAATAATTTTTGGATAATTAACAATTATATTAG